GTGCATCGCTTCTAGTAACAAGTGCCTTACTAGTAGTAACAAGAAGCGAATTAGAATTAAATTGATGTCTGGTTGTTGTCAAGACACTTTTCAACGATCTCTCGTGCCAAAGATCTGATGTCCTCTGTTGTGAGTCCTGGCGCTGAAAGGAACAGTAGGAGCAAGGGCGCTACTAGGGGCTCCTGGCCTTACTACTAGGAACAAAGGGCATCGCTACGAACGGAACAAGGACGCTACTAGAAACAAGGGCATCGCATCAAAAGGTGTCATGCGGAGATCCAAACGCGGCACGAGCCGCCAACAAAAAGGCTACGGGTCGCGACCCGTGCCGACAAGTAGGTCACAGTAGGAAGAGGTGAAAAGACTTAGAAGACTGAAACCTAGAAGCCTTTGTTACGAGTAGCTTCTTGCTACTAGTAGTAATGGCCTCCAACCTACTAGCGATGGCCTCCAACCTAATAGCACAAGGAACCTACTGGGTGCAAGAAGCGCAACAAACTCCTGTCCCTACTTCTATTATTGGGTACGCTTCAAAGAACTCGATTCCAACTTCACATCCTCGCATGGCTTGGCCAAGAGGAACTTCACGTCTCTCCAGCGTCTTCTCTACCTGGAGCAATGTGTGGCGCTTCGGACTCCCGACAAACACAACTGCTCAAGGCAACTGTTTCTACTAGTAAGGCACCTGTTACTACTAGCGTGGCACTTGTTCCTAGTAGCTTCTTGTTACTAGTAGTAAGGCACCTGTTACTAGAAGCGATGCACTTGTTCCTAGCTTGTTCAAGGCAACTGGGGTTCCAGCACTGATGGGCATGCCATCCTGTCAAACAACGACAGCCAGCTCCAGTGCCAAGTACTCAAGCAGTATAAAACTGACACCACCCTTTGCATGTGTGCCATGGAATTTGACGATGAGATGAAAACAACGACTACACGTTGCGGGCAAATAAATGTAACAAGGATGCTATTTGGTGGGGACTATCGCAAGTAGGTTGGAGGCCATCGCTACTAGGAGCAAATATATCAGTAGTAGCTTCTTGCTGCTAGTAGCGATGGCCAAACCCTCACCACAAATGGTTGCCTTGGGCTACGTCAGTTGCAAGGGCAATGCCTAGATCCACTGAGCTCATGCAGGGCTCTCTCCGTGTGCCTCATTTCTTTACCCTGAATCTGCTCGGAGTGCTGCGGAGTGGCATTAGCCCATTTGGGCGCAAGGACGCTACTAGTAGCTCCTGGCATCGCTACTAGGAACCCAGGCATCGCTACTAGGAGCAAGGATGCTACTAGTTTTAAATTACATTAGCCCATTCGCCCATTAAGCTCAATTAACAAGAAAGAACGTGACTAGAGGGAAGGCAGCGGTGAGTTGAACCTCCAGGCCCCGCTGCTTCACAGAAGAGGACAGCCAGTAAGCGTTTTAGTAAACATATTTGTGAATGCTAGGCCTGCTAGGCTACATCCACTCGTGAAGCCACGAACGTTCTATGGCTCTACCCCACCCGGTGCACAGTTGACAAAGCAAATCGAGCCGTTCCTCGTCAAGGTGAGTCACTTCAGAGGTGAAATTTACCACCTGCATTGTGACATGTAAGTTGGAAAAGTGCCAACTGAAAAGACATGAAAACAATGAAAACAACAAGTTGCCCAAAAAAAGAGGACACTATTTGTCAGATTCTCTTGTCTTTCTTTCTTGATACGTTCTTCTTTAGACCTTTAGAGCTTTAGACCTGTCTTTTGTCCTTGTCACTTCTTCCAGTTCATGTCGAATGACAACATGAAGCGGGCTGCGACCCACAAAGCAACCCCTCGCACCAAAGCATCACCGCTGGGACTAGCTTCGATCTTGCCGGGCCTGGAAAAAAGATCAAGCGAAAGGAAATCACTTGTTGTTTCTACGCTCGCTTCTTGTTCCTACTAGTAAGGCACTTGTTACTACTAGCGTGGCACTTGTTACTACTAGCGAAAGGAAAGTATATCTTTCTTTTTCCTGCTCCTACTTAATCAAGTAAGAAGGCAAGCTACTAGAAGTTCGCTCCTAGCTAGGATTCAGGATAGCTCACGTTTCTTCAAGGAAGCTCCCCCTGCCTGAGGGCGTGGGGAGCTTCTTTGAAGAAGCCCTCACACTAATCGTTTGGTTCTTAGATTCCTAGATATTTAGGCATTTATGGAAACTTAACTAGTAACAAGAAGCTACTAGGCCTCACTACTAGGAGCAAGGACGCTACTAGGGCTCCTGGCCATAC